AATCCTTTGCCCATCTCATCAATCACTGTCGCCAAACAGAGCATGCCATCATTGGCCTAGTCTGGGTTACGTGCCCCACTGTGGGTACAGGAGTGAAGTGCTTCATTTGAAGTGCATAGGTAGAAAAGTGAAACTGGGGTATATTGTCAGGAAGGGATGTTAGATATTGGACAGTAAAAACACTACTCTTGGCTGGGCATGGTCACTCACGCCTGTAATCCCAGCACTTTCAGAGGCCAAGGCTGGCGGATCACCTGAGGTCAGGAGTTCGAGACCACCCTGGCCAACAGGGCAAAACCTTATCTCTACTAAAAATGCAAAAATTAGTCAGGCATGGTGACGGGTGCCTGTAATTCCAGCTACTCAGGAGGCTGAGGCAGGAGAATCGCTTGAACCCAGGAGGCAGAGGTTGCAGTGAGCCGAGATTGCAGCCACTACACTCCAGCCTGGGCGATAGAGTGAGACTCCATCGCAAAAACAAAACAAAACAAAACAAAAAACAACCAAAAAACACTACCATGTTCTCAAGCTGGAGTGCAATGGACTATCACGGCTCACTGCAACCTTTGCATCACAGGCTCAAGTGATCCTCCTGCCTCAGCCTCCCAAGTAGCTGAGACTACAGGCATGAGCCACCATGCCTGCTTAATTTTTGCATTTTTTGTAGAGATGGGTGTTTCACCATGTTGGCCAAGCTGGTCTTGAACCCCTGGCCTTAAGTAATCCACCCGCCTCAGTCTCTCAAAGTGCTGGGATTACAGTCATGAGCCACTGCGCCTGACCTAAAAAAGCAGCTTTTCAAAAGAAATTTGAGACTCCTGATTTAAAATAAGGGATTTTTTTGGCCTGAAATGGGCTATCCAGAGTACACTGTACTTTTCAAAGCAGGTCAGAAAAATTGCTGTTCTAATCAAGAAAAAGCAGAAGTTCATGAAAAGTGCTTATATTCCAAAAACTGAAGTTTAGGAGCCAGGGAATGATGAGTAGTTTGATAGAACTGTTTTGTTGAGTTAGACCCGACAATAAATTATTTTTGTGGGTTTTTTTTTTTTTTTTTTGGTATAACACCTCGATATTATTTAGACCTTGAAACTTTCTTTTAATATGTATTATTTCTGATCAATGACCATAGGCAGTCTTTAAATACTCCACAAGGAATAGATGGAAAGGAGGCATCTTTCCAAGAGAAATTCTCAAACCAAAGTATTCCTTAGCCAGTTTCTGCCCTGTTATTCCATGGCTGGTCTCAATTAGCTTTCTGCCACCATCACACGTTTGTGAAAATGGCAACAGTGGTAATGAACATACCCATAGGCCCATGGAAGATTTCCATTTTCTCTTCATTTCTGGCACCACAGGAACACTTCAGTCCAGTCCAGCACACACAATCAATTCAAGTGCACGCATAAAACTCTACTATATATAGTATGAGTATGAGTGGATTCCAGGATGCAAACTATATATAGTTGAGCTAAATAACGAGTTCGCTCTCATGTTACTCAGCTGGCAATGTTTGAAACGTTAAACAGTTCTTTCCAGTCACTCCTTGTTGAATGCTGGTTCTCACTGGTGCTCTTTTGTGCACCCTTGTTTTCAGCTGGCCTGTCTTCTTAAGTCCGTTTCTGGACTTTGGTCAAGTGAGAGCTGTTTCTTTTTTTTTTTTTTTTTTTTTTTGAGACAGAGTCTCACTCTGTCACCCAGGCTGGAGTGCAATGATGTGATCTTAGCTCACTGCAACCTCACCGCCCGGGTACAAGCAATTCTCCTGCCTCAGCCTCCTGAGTAGCTGCGATTATAGGCGCATGCCACCATGCCTGGCTTTTTTTTTTTTTTTTTTTTTTTTGTATTTTTAGTAGAGATGGGGTTTCACCATGTTGGCCAGGCTTGTCTCGAACTCCTGACCTCGTGATCCTCCCACCTTGGCCTTCCAAAGTGTTGGGATTACAAGTGTGAGCTACCGCACACAGCCCTGTCTAACTTTTATGTACAGGGATGGCTCTGGCATTTCCTTCTTTATTTTTATTTATTTATTTATTTATTTTTATTTTTATTTTTTTGGAGACGGAGTCTCGCTCTGTTGCCCAGGCTGGAGTGCAGTGGCCGGATCTCAGCTCACTGCAAGCTCCGCCTCCCGGGTCTACGCCATTCTCCTGTCTCAGCCTCCTGAGTAGCTGGGACTACAGGTGCCCGCCACCTCGCCCGGCTAGTTTTTTGTATTTTTTAGTAGAGACGGGGTTTCACTGTGTTAGCCAGGATGGTCTCGATCTCCTGACCTCGTGATCCGCCCGTCTCGGCCTCCCAAAGTGCTGGGATTACAGGCTTGAGCCACCGCGCCCGGCCCTTTATTTTTATTTTTATGTTTTTAACCCTATCCCTGGTGGTAGGTGAGGCTATGGTATTTTTAGCCAGGAAAAGCTCAGGGCAGCAATCTGGGGGCAATCAGGGCAGCACAATGGGGGAAGCTTGAGGCAATTCCCTGGAATCTTTTTAGATCTGGAGGATGCTGATGGAGATTACAGAGGAGGAAGGGCTAACGGACCCACCCAAAGCTATCTTTTGGTGCTATCACTACCCACGCACATCTTTTTTCTTTCGTCTTATAAAAACTGCTCATTCTGGCAGGCTCTCACCCAGCCAGTTAAGCCAAGCTCACCCAGTAGGAAACCTCAAAATTGTCTCTGAACTTCCCATTTCCATCAGAGGGGCATTAAAGGGTGCCACAGACATTTATGTGGCCATGGGGATGCCAACATGAACAAGATGGTCCTCGTCCTCAAGTTGTTCACAGTCTAAAGTGAAGTAGAACCAGGTACAGTGGCTCACGGTAATCCCAACACTTTGGGAGGCTGAGGTGGGAGGATCACTTGAGGCCAGGCATTTGAGACCAGCCTGGGCAACATAGTGAGACCCCATCTCAACAAAAAATTTAAAAATTAGCGAGGCATGGTGGTGCACGCTGGAAGTCCCAGCTACTTGGGAGGCCAAGGCAGGAGGATCCTTTGAGCCCAGGAGTTTGAGGCTGCGGTGAGCTATGATCATGTCATTGTACTCAAGCCTGGTTGGCAGAGTGAGACCTTGTCTCTATCAAAAGAATAATAATAATAATAATAATAATAATAACAAAGTAGGGTAGGGGTAAAGGGACATACACAGACAGACAAGCTACATGCATGAGCTGTATTAGCAATGAGTGGTGTGTTATAAAAGTCACAGTATGGGAGCATGGGAAGGTTCTGTTTACCTCATATGTGGTCCCTATTTGTATCTCCTCTCTCTCATCTATAGCAGCTCATATTTTATTCTTTCCCACATTCCATTCATTAAACAAATGCTTGTTGAGTCTTGAGTCTTTGCCAAGTGCTGGGGCTACAGTGGCGTTGGACTTGTATTCCAATGGAGAGAATCAGATAATAAGGAAGTACACAAATAAGATATTATTTAGTGAAACAGAAAACAGGCTAAGGGATAGAAAGTGACCATTAGGGGAGGTAAAATGGGGAAAGGTTGCAACAATGGGCACAGAGATCTCTCTGAGGAGGTGACATTTGAACTAAGATCTGATGGGCAGGTAAGAGGTAACCAAGCATGAGAATATCGGGGGAAGAGCAGGGCTGGCAGGTGAAACTGGAAGGGGAAGACTGAGCGCGATATCTATGGTATTGCAGGAATGGAAAGAAGGCCATGGTGACTAGAGCCTAGTGCCACAGGGAAGAGTGACAGCAGCTGAGATCACAGAGGTCATCAGAGGCAAATCAGGAGGGCTGGAAGACCTTGATAATCAGGTGTCTGAATTTTATTATCAGTGCAATTAGGAGAGGGGAATGTACTTTTCCTATTATCAGATATGCATGTTTTTTATTCAGGGTATCCTTGTCAGCATATAAAGAAACAGAATTAGTGATGAAAATATTGATTGCTTGGTGAGTACAGAATTAGAGCAAAGACACATGAAAGGTCTTGAGGGATATTTGACATAGGCTCTCCAAGGGTCCACAGCACTGGGGATTTTCTTTTTCAAATATCTGGATATTTATGAGCATCAGATATACTAAACTCTCTTGAACAAAGTTTAACTCCTCAAGTCTCCTTGTTTTTAGGGTAGGCAGGAATCCATGCCCTTTTGTCTGTATTCTTTTATCACACCATCACCTTTCCTTACTTCCACAGCCTTTGTTACATTCCCAGTTATAGATGATATTTAATCACCTCAAGAATCTAGTCCAGGCCGGGCGTGTCAGCTCGCACCTGTAATCCCAGCACTTTGGGAGTCCGAGGCAGTAGGATCACATGAGGCTGCGAGTTTGAGACCAGCCTGGCCAATATGGTGAAACCCCATCTCTATTAAAAATAATAATAATAAAAAAGTAGCGGGGCATAGTGGCACACGCCTGTAGTCCCAGCTACTTGGGAGGCTGAGGTAGGAGAATCACTTGAACCTGGGAGGCGGAGGTTGCAGTGAGACAAGATCACCCCACTGCACTACAGCCTGAGCAACAGAGCGAGATTCTGTCTCAAAAAAAAAAAAGTAGTCCAAAATCTATCATAAACTGGATCCTGATGGGAAGTATACAATTATATAACTTATCCATGGTTAGTGAATAATTTCAGCTTCAGTCTCGGAGAACGAGACCTGCGTCCCACCCCCGACCAAGTCGGGCTTTTGGCTTGGGGGCTAGTTTTCTTTTCAGGCTTGTCACTCTGTAATCACTGACCACCATATGCATATGGTTCTGATGTAAACTAAAATCTTTATCCAAAGTCTCTATCCACCTGGCAACTTTTGAACCCATATGAAATAAGCAGGGTAGTGACTCTTCTTTTGAGACCTCATTTGTTCATTTATTCAAGTACATGGAGCCCCAGGCAGTACACTGAGTACAAGGGATAAAACAGATGTATGATGTACTCCTAGCCCCCTAGTCTGACAAAGCTTTTATGTGTATCTCTGGTTCTTAAAATGAATAAATTGTCCACTTACAAACTGTATACTTACAACTAACCTGGATGTACAGGGCTTGTGCTCCATGCAGCTTGCAAATATCTGTCTTGAATTATTCTCTGCAGACTAACAGCCACCACAGCTTCTGGTTGCTCCTCTCTCCTCCTTGTCCTCCTTCCCACCTCCAGAGCTCTTGCTGCTGTTGCCATGACAGCCAGAAGGAAAAGCTTTGGAACCTTATCTCTTACTATGGGCCTATGTCTCCCCATGAGGACATTATTGTCTGTCACTCCAACTGGACTCTGGGGCTTGCTCTTTAAATATACCATAAAGTCATGTTAAAATTGGAACTCGAGGGGCAAGATTATGACAGTATTTAGTCAGGGACCTAGGAATTCTCAAATCTTGTTTTTGACTAGCAATCCTTTTCTTCAAAGAAAATATGTGCACTTATGACAAAGCAGGGTATAGGGATGCTTTTTACTAAGTGGGGCTTCATGTCTAAGCCCCGAATAGAGTTTTAACAGGTTCATACAGACCTCATGGAGGTCTCTTTTGGCATAAGCCGGGTTGACCTGAGATGCCTACTTGACCACTAACAGATTAGAAAAAAAGATCCTCCAGCTCAAACTTGTCAACTGGGCTCCAGGTTCAGGCAGCCATCTGCCGGCTTGATATTTCCCTGGATGTCTCGTGGACATCTTCATCTTAAAAATCTTTCCATCCTTATTCCTCCCCTAGTCTTCCTCCTCTCCATAAACAGCTTCACCCTCCAGATAGAGGCCCAAGTCAGCAACCTGGGAGGCTTCCCTGACTCTTCCCTTCCCCTTGCCTCCCCGCATGCCCAATCCTTACCAAGTCCTGTGGCTCTATCTCCAAAATAAAACTCGCAGACGTCTGCTCTTCTCCATCACCACTCCCACCACTTCAGACTAAAACGTAGTCGTCTTCCGTCTGGATTATTTTGATCACCCTCGGACTGTTCTCCCTGATTCTATTTGTTTTTCGCCCAGTCCTTCTTCACAGAGCAGCAAGCGCGATCTTCTAAAAAGATAAACCAGAGTGTATGACTCTGCTCTTTAAAACTCTTCTTGGCTTCCCACTATACTTGGAATAAAAACCATCGTCTTCACCTTGGCCTACAGGGCCTGCCCTGCGTTCTCTGAGCTCCTGTCCAGCTTCGTCTCTCCCACTCTCCACCTGGCCCCTCCTCCAGTCACATTTGTATTCCTTCCACTCTCCATGTGGCTTGCAAATATGTCTTTTGTTTCCTCCAAAGTCAAACAGCTGCCATACGTCCTGGTTTTCCCACAAAGCTCTTTTCCCACCTCCAAGCCTTTACACCTTCAGCTCCTTCTGCCTGGAACACATGTTCCCTGTGCTTTGCCTGATCTTTGTACGGTGGCTGTTTCCTTCTCAACCCTGAGGTCTCAGCTAAATGGCACCTCCTCAGCGAGGCCTTCCCTGACCACCCTATCCAAAACTGCTCTCCCCCATGAGTGACTCTCTGTCAGTGCACCCTGTTTATTTTCTACATAAGATTTTCCAAAACATGTACCTATTTTGGTTATTCATGTGTGTGTTTATTGTTGAGGGCAGGAACTAGATCTACTTTATTCATTATGAATGGCATATAAGAGGAACATGATTAATACCTGTTAGATTCATGAATTATCCTGTCTGAAATTCCACCAGGGATTCCTGCACTCAGGAAAGAAACATGAAATATTTTTTTCCTCTTTTTCCTCCTTCACTCTCTTGGTCAGGGCCTTTTTTTTTTTTTTTTTTTTTTTTTTTAAGATGGAGTCTCACTCTGTCACCCAAGCTGGAGTGCAGTGGCGCTATCTCGGCTCACTGCAAACTCCACCTCCCAGGTTCAAGTGATTCTCCTGCCTCAGCCTCTCAAGTAGCTGAGATTACAGGCTCAAGCCACGACGCCCAGCTAATTTTTGTATTTTTAATAGAGACGGGGTTTCACCATGTTGGCCAGGCTGGTCTCAAACTCCTCATCTCAGCCTCCCAAAGTGCTGGAATTATAGGTGTGAGCCACCACGCCCAGCTGGTCAGGATCTTGATGAATGAAATTCTCCTGAGATGGCACAAATGAAGAAACTGTAATGAAGAGATTATTCTCTGAGGCAAGGACAGGGTTAAGAAAACCAACACGGCCGGGCACGGTGGCTCAAGCCTGTAATCCCAGCACTTTGGGAGGCCGAGACAGGCGGATCACGAGGTCAGGAGATCGAGACCAGCTTGGCTAACACAGCGAAACCCCGTCTCTACTAAAAAAATACAAAAAACTAGCCGGGCGAGGTGGCAGACGCCTGTAGTCCCAGCTACTCGGGAGGCTGAGGCAGGAGAATAGCGTAAACCTGGGAGGCGGAGCTTGCAGTGAGCTGAGATCCGGCCACTGCACTCCAGCCTGGGCGACAGAGCGAGACTCTGTCTCAAAAAATTAAAACATCCTGTTCAGATACCTGAGAGGAGCAAGAGCAAGGAGTTGTTATACCCCCAAGACTGGGGGCCAAAGGGAGGGAACCATATTCCCAGAGCCCAGTAAGAGCTGGGGCTGTGGAAGAGGCTTCCCACCTAGAAATGTAGTCTTGGAGGGACATAGCCATTGCCAGGTTGCTGGCAGCTAAGCAGGAGAGGAACAGATGAAGAACTACCCCACCTTATCTCGTCTCCTATTTCTAGTCTGTGCCCCTTCTTGACTGAAGCCAACTGAAAGCCAGCCAGCAAGGAAGCCCAGGTGAACAAATCAGTCTGTAGGAAGCTGGCCTTCCAGAGCACTGAGCAGATGATAAATGGAGAAGAACTGGCACAGGTGTTCACTCCCAGCAGCTGGAACTCAGCCTTGGTTTTGCTCCCATGACTTAGAAGTCAATCTGATTTGGGACTTATGCTTGGAATTTAACTACCATTTATACCACTGGGTTTATAGAATTTTGATTTCTAAATAAACAACTTACTAATAAACCTGACGACACAATTCACTAGGGCATTAGAGCCTGCCTTTATACCGAACAAGGGGGTGAAGTGTTTTTATTATTAATAAGCACAGCACAGCCTACTCAAGAAAAAGAAAACTTCTATAATCTTATTTGGCCACCACATCAAACAAACTATGGAGTCTTTTGATGATATAAATAGTATCCTCACAAAATACATGGGACCAGTATTTGCCAAATTTGATTTCTAGGTTCTGTCAAACCAGTTGCAGAGATATAGCTAGAATTTTTTTTCTCAGTTAAAAATGCTTTAAGTCTTTGAGTTCTGGTTTTCATCCTCCTCTGATCAGTTGCTGTGTGAGGATGTCCATATCTGACTCATTTTACTCTACAAATACAGAATTGCACCCAGGCGTATTTTAGGGGTATTGGTCACCTTGAAGTTTTCATAGGTTTTACAGATACATGCTGGTGAGGTGGGAGCGGGGGTGAATAAGAAGTAAAATACAAGTCTTCCTGAAAGCTGATAATGCAGCATTGGGGTCGATGATTTGTTTTCTTTCTTTCTTTTCTTTCATCATTATTATTATTATTATTATTATTATTATTATTATTTTGATTCAGAGTCTCACTCTGTCACCAGGCTGGAGTGCAGTGGCATGATTTCAGCTCACTGTAACCTCTGCCTCCCAGGTTCAAGCGATTCTCCTGCCTCAGCCTCCCGAGTAGCTGGGACTATAGGCACGCAGCACCACGCCCAGCTAATTTTTATATTTTTAGTAGAGAGGGGTTTCACTATGTTGGCCAGGCTGCTCTCAAACTCCTGGGCTCAAGTGATCCACCTGTCTCAGCCTCCCAAAGTGCTGGGATTACAGATTTCAGCCACTGAGCCCAGCCTCGTTTTTTTTTTTTTTTTTTCTTTTCTTTTAAATAGATATAGGGTTTCACCGTGTTGCCCAGGTTGGTCTCAAACTCCTGGGCTCAAGTGATCCACCTGCCTCCGCCTCCCAAAGTTCTGGGATTACAGATGCGACCACTGTTCCCAGCCAAAAATCATTTCATTTTTACAACTTTAGCAGTGGGATCTGGGGCCAAGTTATATGGCGGAGTGGCATCACAATATCAATATACAACTCATCTTTTAAAATCTTTGTTTTAGCATATGACTTGAGAGCTGGACAGCCATACTGAATATTTCCACTGGAGCAGAGAGGACTGAGAGGCCACTGCCCAATTTATTGTGTCTGTGTTGAGTGCTAGATCTATGAATGGGGTTCCATACTAGCAAACAGCAACCTCATTTCCAGTTCATTTTTCTCCTTGCTGGAAGTGTTCTAAATATTGGAAGAATCATCTACTCTAAATTAGAATGCCCCGCTTTGTCTACTCTGCATTTTTTTTAACAAGAAGGCATACAATATATTTATTGTGTTTATTGATTTATTGATGCTTAGAAAATAAAAGAATGTTGGTTTAGGATGGACTGAATTTTATCTTTCCGCTATATAGAAAAGAGGCAAGTTGCTCTAATCCTTGAATCACAGAGGCTTATAAGGAGAATTCAAATTCATGTCTGGTTTCCCATATTCAGAGATTCTACAGAGAGAAAATTCTCTCCTAAAAGGAACTATATACTGGCCAGGCACAGTGGCTCACGCCTGTAGTCCCAGCACTTTGGGAGGCCAAGATGGGTGGATCACTTGAGGCCAGGAGTTCCAGACTAGCCTGGACAACATGGTGAAACCCTGTCTGTACTAAAAATACAAAAATTAGCTTGGCTTGGTGGCATGCGCCTGTAATCCCAGCTCCTTGGGAAGCTGAGGCATGAGAATCGCTTGAACCTGAGAGGCAGGAGTTGCAGTGAGCCGAGATCACACTACTGCACTCCAGCCTGGCCAACAGAGCTAGACTGTCTCACCAAAAAAAAAAAAAAAAAAAAAAACAAAAACAAAAACTATATACCACCTGGCATATATCTGAAGAGAAGCAGGGTGGAAGGTAAAGTAAAATATAAGTTCAGTGGAAAAATACTTGGAAAGCCACTTGGTAACCATAAAGATCTTAATTAAATCACCCAGAGCCTTATTCCATAATGATATGCACCAGGTGTTTCTGCTTCCACTTAATTAACTCAGCATAATTCCTCTTTTAAAAACACGACACATACTGTTGGGGTGTATCCAGCCGAAACACACATCACCACAAAGCTTTTAAAATGTGGTTCTTTTCAATGTACATATTAGAATGGCCTCATGTCTTTCACTATGTGTGTACTGACCTTAGAGGGTCACCCACATTAAAGGATGCAGTAGAAATAAGGCAATCCCACATTTACAGACAAGAAAACACAATAATGTAGTTTTATGGAAACTAACCTTCAGAAATGCAAGGCATTCACTGGTTTCACTCAGAAACCTCTCAGATGTGGGAGAAATATGTGTGAGATTTGGACTTTCATTTATCCAAATATGAGGAATTTGTCTGTTAGAGTCAACTGGCTGATAATGGATGGAAAGGATTAGTGCAGGTCCTACTTGGCAGGCTTCTCGGTAGAAACCCATATGCTCTCTGACATTGATTATAATTATTTTTCCATCATTCCCAGGTTACATTCTTAGCAGGAATGTGAGCCAACTCTCTCCCTAGGAAGGCTCCTGCTGTGAAACCATCTTTGGCAATGAATCTTTAACAAAAGATCAAGAACTTGACATTTATTTTTAAGCACGAGAAGAAAATGTGTGCAATGTTGGAAGCAAGGACAGGGATAGGAAGAGCTTCTAAACACTTGCAGGCAGGAGCAGTGGAACAGAAAGAAATATTACATGAGTGACATGACTTTACTTTTGTGAAGAGCAACTAATGACTAGGTATGGAATATGTGGATTATATGATGTTAAGGTCTAACGTCTTTTTAAAGTAGAAGAGTGGGGGAAATGTGGTTATTATTCCAAACCAGGTATGTCTTTATGATTTTATATCCAACTGATCATTCAGGGAAGTTATTAGGACAGTGGTTGAAACAGAAATTTAGGATGATATTCTAAGAAACAGAAAGAGCAGTCTTCTTATTCTAATTGGCAAGACCAACAGAGATAACAAAAAAAAAATTTTTTTTTTTTTTTTTCAGGAAGAGCATGTGCATTCAAACTTGTTAATTCATTGATTTGAGTTGAAGGGAGGGGGACATGCTTGGTGGAAAAGTTAAAGTGCTCCGGGTGAGAAATTCACAGGGTAAGAATTTTTCATTTTCAAATTGTCCACCTACAGTAAGGAAATTTCTTCCAAATTAATTTTTTAAACAACAGGTGCAGAAAATGGTGTGGCTATCAGAAAATTACCAAATTAAACATAAAAAGCTTAGCCTCTCTCCTAAAGGATGATTATTTCTGTCTCGTAGTTTCATGCACTGTAATGATTAGTTTCTCCATTAAAATCAAATACAGAATATAATTAAGTCAATCCTCCAGGTTACATGTCTTAAAATTCCACTAGCTGAAGGGCTTGCTAGAGGAAGTAATAAATACTTTAATAAATGCCTGTACCATAAATGTACTTCGGATGTGACTTAAACTCAGTACAAACCTTATCATAGGCAGTTTATAGCCCCTAGATGGGGAAATTTTTTTTTTTGCTGAGCTATGCTCTTCGAAGCATTTGGATAAAGTTCCTAATGGTATTCCACTGCTTTCTACCTTTGCTGAAAACTTAGCCCAAAGTGATGTGTACATTTTTATACATGAGAATGAAATCAAATGAAACGTTGTGATTTAAAAAGGAAACCATATATTATTGAAAACTAAAATATATCTTGGTTATGGACTTGTGAATACTACATCAAAATTCATTGCAGAAGAATAAATTACCCAATCTTGTAATAGAGTCTTCAGATATGGAAAATATATAGTGTTCTTCCTGTTTTAACATTGCGGATTTAAATCATTTGGTTACATAATCACAATTCAATCTCCAACTGAAATTTTCATTGTCATTATTATATCATTTAAAAATATATAACTGAGCACAGTGGCTCATGCCTGTAATCCCAGCACTTTGGGAGGCCATAGTAGGAGGATCACTTGAGCCCAGGAGTTCAAGACCAGCCCTGGGAACATAGCAAGGCCCCGTCTTTGCAAAAAAATTTAAAAACTAGTTGGGCATGGTAGCATGCACTTGTAGTCCCAGCTACTTGGGAGGCTAACCTCGGAGGATCACTTGAGCCTGGAAGCTTGAGGCTGCAGTGAGCTGTGGTCATGCCACTGCACTCCATCCAGCCTGGGAGACAGAGCAAGACCCTATCTCAAAATGTATATATATATGTATATATATTTTTAAATATTATCAGCAAATATATATGTATATATATTTTTTAAATATTATATACTATATATATATTTTAAAAAACCACTACAATCGCTTGTACTTAAAGTCTATTCTCATCTTCTTGGTTTGGCATAACCATTACTTCTTTTCTCACTGCAGGCAAAGATGTTAATAGCAATGGGGAAAAAAATAACGCTTCTCCAGTGCTAGGCAAACGGCCATATCCATCAGGAGTAAAGAAAACGAGTAAGTTCCCACACATGGCTGCCTTTATCTCTTTCATTTGAATAAGTTATTGAATTTACTATGTGCAAGGTTGTTTGCAAAACATCTCACACACATTCCCTTATTTAATTCTCATAAAAATCTAAAATTTATATATTTAAGCCTCCCAACTACCCAGCGAGAGAGTTAATAATATGCTCCTTCCACAGGGAGAAAAGTGAAGCTCAGAGAGTTTATTTACCTAAAGTTTTATAGGGAGGAAATCATTTCTTGTAACCATCTGTGTCAGCTAGGTCTTCCAGGAAGCAGGTGAGGAGACCGAGTGAAGAACACAAACAGTTGATTCAGGTGAAAAGCCTGTTAAAGAAAAAAGGGAGAATCAGCAGCTTGGACAGATAAAGCCTTTGGGCCATGATATTAATCTGATACTTGTGAAAAACAAACAAAAAAGGTGGGGAAGAGTCTGGGCACGGTGGCTCACTCTGTAATCCCAGCACTTTGGGAGGCCGAGGGGGGCAAATCACCTGAGGTTGGGAGTTCGAGACCAGGCTGACCAATATAGTGAAAGCCCATCTCTACTAAAAATACAAAATTAGCCAGGTATGGTGGCACATGCCTGTAATCCCAGCTACTCAGAAGGCTGAGGCAGGAGAATCACTTGAACCTCGGAGGCAGAGGTTGCAATGAGCTGAGATCGCGCCATTGCACTCCAGCCTGGGCGACAAAAGCGAAACTCTGTCTCATTAAAAAAAAAAAAAAAAAAGTGGGGAAGAAACAGGATTGAACAGGAGCACCTCAGAATACAATGCACACCTGACAGTTTTGGCCAACTCAATGGGAAACACCAGAGCAAAGACTGCCGATTGGAAGATATCCGCTTTGGCCAGAAATAGCCAGCCCCTAGTACTTCCACTATGTTTGGTTATTATCTGGAGACGGTTCAGGAAGAGTGTGGCCTTAGCTTGAAAACTGAGGTGGTCTGAAGCTGCTGCAGTTGGAGGCTGTCAACTAACCACTCTCCTTGCAGCTGAATGGAAGTTATTTCTTGAACGGAGAGCCAAGTGGTGTGTCTTCACAACTACCATGGTCCACCCCGTGCACCATGCAACTCCCGTCCCATTTAGGGAACAGCTCCTCCAGGGTTCCAGTGTGCCTCTCTTCTTGCAGATAAACTTAAAAGAGGCAGATCAGTGGGATGAACTATACCCCTTGTCACAGCAGTTGATCTTGGGATCGCAACTGATACTTATCCTCTCCCTTCTCCACTATCCATTCCAAATTTACTCTCTCTCAGTTACCATCTCTAGTGGTCTCAGTGACTTGCTGGTGGTGTGACAAAACTTTCATTTTTGAATGAAACCACTGGTAACCATACTTATCTCAAGCTGAGGTTGCTGTACTCATCCATGTATGTTCTCAGTTGGGCCAGGGAGTATCATAAAGCACCCAAGTGGACTGCATGAGTTCTCTACGTATTCTTCATTGCCCCCACTTGTAATAGCAACACAAACTTCTCCTGCTAATCAGGAGCAATTACCCTTGCCAAGAAGGCAACTCTTCTTACCTGCTGATTCATGGTCACAAAGAATTCAAAATGCCAGGGCAGGAGCCATATTTTATAGTTCAAATGGAACTCTTGCTGTTTCCCCAACCATGACGTTTCATTAGGGCAACCTCTTGCAGCCTCCTGCTCCTCCATTCTTGCTTTTATTTATTTATTTATTTATTATTATTATTATTATTTTTTAAGACGGAGTCTCACTCTGTTGCCCAGGCTGGAGTGCAGTGGCGCTATCTTGGCTCACTGCAACCTCCTCCTCCCGGACTCAAGCAATTCTCCTGACTCAGCCTTCCGAGTAGCTGGGATTACAGGTGCCTGCCACCATGCCCGGCTAATTTTTGTATTTTTAGTAGAGACAGGGTTTCACCATGTTGGCCAAGCTGGCCTCAAACTCCTGACCTCAGGCAATCCGCCTGCCTTGGCCTCCCAAAGTGCTGGGATTATAGGCGTGAGCCACCGCACCCAGCCTCATTCTTGCTTTCTTTTGATGGTGCATATTAAGCAGCATCCCCATTGACTGGTCATTGACTTTGTCCTTTGGGACACCATACTCTGTGAACTATCTCCACAACTCTCTTTGATCAAGCTCCCTTGGCTGCCATTCTGCTTTGCTGGTCATTACTATAATTACAACCCTCTGGCTTCTAGAGGTTAAGTGCTGCCCTCTGGCCTCTTGCTTCAGGAGCCCACCATGCTCATTGCTATCCATGAACCAAGCTCTGTGACAGCATCTCCTACCCACAGCCCTTGCTAGCACTGAACTTCTCACTGATGCTGGCACCTTCTCCCTGGAGTATTCCTGATGGCCTTGGCAAGTGAAGCATAAGCTCTGGGCCTATGTGTGTAGCATAATCCTCTGGAGGTCTTCTGGCCTCACAGAAAATATCTATTCCAACGTGTCCACTTCCCTCTGCATCTTTACTCCTTCCTCTACCATCTGCCAGGGCAAAATTCACACATTTATTAAGTGCTGGTTTGTGTGGCGTCCTTTGACAGGAGACATAAGACAAACAGCTCAGAGTGGAAGAAATAGATGTTCTCAGGACGTGGCTGTATGGTGTCCTGGTTTAGAGCATCTGCCCTACAGTCAGAATGCCTGCGTTTGAAATAATTTCTGCCACGAACTAGCTGTGTGACCGTGGGTGAGTTATTCAACCTTTCAGGACATCTCCTAAAATGGGGATAATGTTTTCTTCCCCAAAGACTTGTGGGGAGGAACCAAAAATTAAATGGATTATTGAATATAAAGTCCTTAGACCATTGGCCAACCCTTCGTCAGTGCCCTATAACCGTTGCCTGTTTAGCATGTCATAAACACGTGACTCGCATACATTATATTAAAATAGAGCAGAGTAGTTAAGTCTGGGGAAAGGAAACTAACTTTTATTAGATGACTGTTCTCTTCCAGGTGCTATAACACTATTTTCTCATGATCCCCTCTTTAATCTTTGCAATAACTCACAAGGTAGGTATTACCAGTTGCAGTTTCCTGAGGAGGAAACCAAAGCTGGGAATTACTTTATCCTCAAAGAGGCAATAAGTTGATGGCCACAATCGGGACATTCAGCTTTTCTCCTCACATTTAGAAATGTCATGTGGCTGTGAGTCACCTTGTGAGGATCTTGTCACATCCTTAGGCTGTACTGCCAACACTGAAAATGCACTGTGGCTGACCCGTTTCAGCAAAGCCAGGCTGCAGTTTTCCTGTGGATTCCCATTCCAGCAGCTAGGCTGGGCTCTCCTTTGGTTTTGGTACCACTGTGATTCTGCTGTGTGGCTACTTTAGAGACTAGAGACTGCCTAATGTGAGCAATAGGTGATCTAACGGACACTCATTATTTGTTGACTCAGCATCTATCAAACTTTAGTCAACTGGCAGCATCATGGTTTTCATCCATGGAATTCTGCCATGTTGGTTCCACCCTCAGCTCTGGGAGGGGGCATGTGCATGGCACCTGGATAATCAGATCATGGCATTCCCAGCCACAGTGATGGGTTTTGGGGAGAGGAGACATGTTACAATTCAGGCCAATTCATGTCGGGCCCAGGACTTAACTTATATTGTTGGTTTTTTTTTTTTTTTTTTTTGATACGGAGTCTCGCTCTGCCGCCCAGGCTGTAGTGCAGTGGCCGGATCTCAGCTCACTGCAAGCTCCGCCTCCTGGGTTTACGCCATTCTCCTGCCTCAGCCTCCCGAGTAGCTGGGACTACAGGCGCCCGCCACGTCGCCCGGCTAGTTTTTTGTATTTTTTAGTAGAGACGGGGTTTCACCAGGTTAGCCAGGATGGTCTCGATCTCCTGACCTCGTGATCTGCCCGCCTCGGCCTCCCAAAGTGCTGGGATTACAGGCTTGAGCCACCGCACCCGGCTATATTGTTTTATTTTATTTTATTTTTGAGACAAGGTCTTGGCTCTGTCACCCAGGCTGGAGTACAGTGGTGTGATTATGGCTCACTGCAGCCTGGAGCTTTCAGGCTCAATTGATCCTCCTGCCTCAGCCTCCTGAGTATCTAGGACTACAGGTGCACGCCCCCCTACCCAGCTAATTTTTGTAGAGACAGAGTTTCACCATGTTGCCCAGGCTGGTCTCAAACTCCTGGGCTCAAGTGATCCACCTGCCCTGGTCTCCCAAAGTGTTGGGATTACAGGTGTGAGCCACCAAGCCCAGCTTGGACTTAACTTTATATTGATGGCAATGAAAAGCTTTCTTTTTTTCTGCCTGTAGCTCTATAAGGTCATAAACCATCTGCCACTACTGGTTACAATCTGCCTCCCATAAAATGAAAGTATGCCTCAGAATAAAGCTAGAATAGAGGCAGGAAAAACAGAGACATCAGGAGAGCAGTGGTCCTGGTAACATCATTTGAGCCCCGACTCCAAGTATACCTGAAGCCTGTATATTCCTTGGCTTTTTAGTTCTGTTAAGTAAAACTTACAGTGAGGCCATTGGTTTGGACTGAGCTCCTGCACTGGGCCCCAACATATCAGACCAAGCCAGAATGGAGTCACTCACGCTAGCTGTTACGTAGTCAAACTGAACTTAGAAGTGGATCAGTTTTCCAAAGAAAAGGAAGATTCACAGCAACCAATCCAAAGAGGCCCCATCAACCTGGGCCAGCATGATAAGGAAGTCCCTTCTGCTTTAATCCTATAAGAAAAGTGACTTTGAAACAACCAAACTGCTTTTTATTCCTTGTTTCTGCTTTCTTCTGCCTCTTCTGCCTGTAAAGCCCAGCTCCTCTGCTCAGCTCCTCAGGGTGCCTTTGTATTTTATAGAAGAAATGCTGCCCAATTCATGAATTACCAACAAAAGAGTCTTTAAACTTGATTTGTTGAAATTTTGTTCTTTGATAGTTCCACAAGCCAATAAATTCCTTTTTCTTCCTTTAAATCAGGTGTCCTTGGCCAGGTGTGGTGGCTCACGCCTGTAATCCCAGCACTGTGGGAGGCCAAGGTGGGTGGATCATCTGAGGTCAGGAATTTGAGGCCAGCCTGAACAACATGGAGAAACCCCGTTTCTACTCAAAATACAAAATTAGCTGGGTATGGTGGTGCATGCCTATAATCCCGGCTACTCAGGAGGCTGAGACAGGAGAATTGCTTGAACCTGGGAGGCAGACTTGCAAGAGCCGAGATTGCACTCCAGCCCGGGCAACAGAGTATGACTTTGTCTCAAAAAAAAAAAAAAAATCAGGTGTTCTCAACCTCTACGCATGGACTAGTCCACAGCCTGTTAGGAACAGGGCAGCACAGCAGGAGGTGAGTGGCAAGCAAACAGGAGCGAGCATGGCCGCCTGAGCTCCGCCTCCTGTCACATCAGCAGCGGCATTAGATTCTCATTGGAGCACGAACCCTATTGTGAACTGAGTATGCGAGGGATCTAAGTTGCAGG